CGCGGGGAGGACAGGAGTGCGCTCCCGCCCGCGCTCCCGCCGGTTCTCTGCCCGCGCCGGTCGCCCACTGGTTCGCTCCCCACCCGGCCTCATTAGTCACCCACCCACTCACTCATTCACACGCTCACCCCATCGCCCGCTTCCTCGCCACTTCCTCATTCGTCTACCCACGCACGCGCGCCCCTGTCCCGCACTCGCTTGCCCATTCACCAGCTCACTCCGTCATCATCAGCGCATTTACTCACCCTCACTCATTCGTTTGCTTTCCACTCGCTCACACTCCAGTCTCCCGGCTGCCGCCCGCAGGTGAGGCAGGCCTGTGCTGGGTGCTGGCAGTACAAAGACGCATGGGTACCTTCCCCGAGATGGACGACGGACGCGGGACCAGAGTGGAGGAAGTGTCCTGGCTGTTCCCAAACAAGGCTGCAGGGGAGCACCGCATATGAGGGGCCCTGGCCCTGCGGGGTGAAGGGACCCTGGATGGGGTAGAGCCTGAGCCGAAGCCGTATGAATGAGGAGGAAGGCACAGGTGCCAGCACCTGCAAATGCGGTGGTCTTCCTGGAGCTAAGTGTTGGTGGGGAGGGCCGGCGGGCAATGGAAGAAGAGGAAGTTGGAGCTGCTGGTAGGGCCTTGTGAGGGCCCAGACCTCTCAATACTGATGCCAACCGACGCCAGGGGTTGTCTCAGCATTCAAGAGCCTGGCCCCCTGCCTGGGTCCTAAGAGGGCTCCGTGAGTAGTTAGTGCCCCTGGCTAAGGCCACTGAACCCTGCCTCAGTTCCAGGTCACCACACTGAGGGCATCTATGTGATCTGACATCCCCCAGCCATAACCCAAGAAGTGCTGCCCCCTTTGCCAGATGGGCATAGAGCAGTTTTCCCGTCACAGTGGAACACTTGCAGGGGCCTGTGACACACACACTCATCTCATTTTGCTTCCTTCCACCACCGTGGGTTTCCCTTCAGCTGCTGTTGCATCAAATGGTGTGCTCAGCACTTTCCCCAACTCAAGGTCTCCCCGCTTCCCCACTGCGCACACACATGCACACACACACACACACACACACACACACAGCTAACTTCCTGATATTATTTGCTACATATCTCTATCCCTCAGTAGATTATAAGATCTTTCTTAAATGTTTAAAAGTTCTTTGCACTTTGGAAACTGTAAAGCATTACACAAGTTTAAAATTAGACATCATTCAAGGAGAACATATTGAGTATTTTATTTGAACACCTGTGACACATGGTCACACAGCCTTGATTTCAGTGGTTCTGGATCTTGGCTGCACTTTCTAATCATCTAGGGAGCATTCAGATATACTCTGCCTGGAAGCCGCCCCAGAAGTTCTCTTTTAATTGGTCTGGGTGTGGCCTGGACTCGGATTTGTAAAATAATCTCCCTGGGTTGATTCTAATGTGCAGCCAGGTGGAAGACCACTGCTCTAAGTGGGAAAGTGTGTTCTGTCCTCAAACATTTCCTGAGCGTGTGCTAGGCACTGGATTTGTGTGGCAGCAGGGGAAGATGGCGAGGGAGGCACACGGGGACAACCAGGTGAGGTCCCCGACCTCTGGGTCCCTGACAGTATTGGGGCACGAACACCGCAGGATTCTCACTCCACACAGCGAAGTGAGCGATAGAGATGGAAATGCGGGTGTTCTGGCAGGAAGGGTGGACGAGCCGATGGTTCTAAATGTCTCCAGAAGGGGGTTCGGCCCTTACCGGTGTGGGTTCCATCGCCCAGTATCTCCAACAGCTAGAAAGCGTTGGGAGGTGTCCTGAAATACATCTGCCTGCTTCTTCTTAGTTACAGGTTCTCAGCAAAGGAGCCTAATTCTAACAGTTTGTTTCCTTCAAGGAACAGCACAGAGAAAATGGAATTTCTGATTTTAAAGGCTTTTTGATTCATGGCAAGAATCCAACTGTTCATCTGTTTTTGAGTGCATTGCTTTCCATTTTGGAAAATGAGAGCCATCTGCGCAAACGGACAACTCTGAGCGCGAACACCGAGGCGGGGGCTTCCCCACGCAGGTGGGCGTGCCGAAAGGGGCTAGCTGCAGTCAGCCGAGGAAAATGCGAGGGCTTCCCAGTCCTGCTGGGGATCTTTCCAAAGAGCCACTAAAATGCCCTGAGGAGTATGTCCTAGAAATATGAACAACAGTTCACGTATTAGGACAGCTGTGTCATGCTGCGCTAACAATCTCAAATCTCAGTGGCCTGAAATTGCAAAGGGTCACACTCATCGTTGTCACTCAGAAACCCAGGGTAACAGAGCAGCCACCATCTTGAATTTCTGCCGCCATGACCACAGGAGGGCAGTTGGAGGCTCTGGCTTGGAAGTGACACACACACTTCTACTCACAGCTCATGGGCCAGCACTGGTGACCTGGCTCTGCCCACCACGAGAGACTCAGAAGCGCGACACTGCCATGTGCCTGGGAGACAGAAAGCCAGGGCTCCTTGGTGGACAGTGCCACGCAGCAACCACACTAAGTGAACGCTCACCGAGCACCTACTCGGTGCTGAGCGCTCTTTAGGCACTTTCTGTTTGGAGCTCATCTGCTCCTCACAGGAGACCTACAAGAGAGATGTACAGTCATGTCCACTTTGCAGAAAACCAAAGCCAAAGGGCTGGTCACTAAGGTCCCAGCCGCTCAACAGAAGGACTGCGGGACCTGAGGCCGCCCGTGCAAGCCCTGCGGCACGCCGGGCCGTGGAGCTGGCGGTCACTCCCCCAGTCTCCGTCAGGAAATGCCGTCGCCTGGAACCCCTTGTCTTAGGAGGCTGGATGCGGAAGCCGCCAAAGCTCTCTCAGTCTCGCTGGGGGTGGGGGACAGACTCTAAAAGAGAAAATCTTCACACTCTCATTAGTCGTATCAACAGCCCCGAACACTGCAATGGCTACTGCGTGGCAGGCACTGTGCTAGGGACCGAACCAGTGTCATCTTGCTTCACCCTGTGAAGGTCAGGAAATCGAAAACCCCTCTGTGACACTATGAGACACCTTCTCAGGCACTGCCTCTCAAGGATTTCGTCTAAAATTCCTAGCCGGAGTGAAGATTTGCTCACAAACCCCAAGAGCCCCAAGAAGGTTTAGAAGTCTTTAAAGTGCCGGCTGCCCCAACTGGACTTTGGACACCAACGCGACTTCCCTCAGCTCCAGTTCGCTTGTGTGTGAAACGTATGTGTCAGCATTACTTACTCCAAGAAGCTGCTCCTCAGAGGCCAGGGTTTTACTCAGAGACTTTCCGTGATGGTTCGAGCTGGCGCGGGAGTACACTCCCCTCCTCCAAGCAGAGAGTACTAGCTAAAATTTCCCCCCCAAATGTTTTTAATACACCGCTGGAGTCAACAGCAAGACGGGGCCAGACAGAGGGCAAACTTTAAGTGATGCTGATGAACATAACTTAAGGCTGAGCCAAACAACTCACAGAGCTACCAGCAATCACAAAGGTCTTAGGGACCCGGGTTAAGGCAACAGGAGCCGAAGGCTTAGGTCCCAGCAAGGGTGGGAAATGGAGCGGAACTTCCCAGATAAAATCAGGAATGGTGAAGGGATACCCTGCCAGCCTTAGAAGCAGCCGGAAGCTGGCTGTCCACACTGGAATAACCCTGAGGCACTCCCACGCCTAGAGAGTTACCCGAGAGAAAGGAAAGCGCACGGCCACTGGGAAGGCTCATTCTGAGGAGCCTCGAACAGCTCCAAACCGGAAATAGCCCCGCTGCCTATTAACAGACGGGGCGAACGGCCTGCTGTGCAGTCACACGGCGAATCCACACGGCTGTGAACCCTGCAACACGCTGGGCCCACGGGGGAGCGGGGTACCGCCCGAACACCCCTCGGAGTGTGGAACTGGCTTTGGAATTGAGCAATGAAAACTTCTGAGACGCCCAAGAGGAAAGCCTAGCGGAGGCTGCTGGTGGCCTCGAGAGAACGAGGGCCTGGTGCCGAAGACCTGCACCTCGGCGGTCGTGCACGGACCGGCAGGGGACACACGGGCAGTAAAGGCACTTCCGGGGGCGCCCAGAAGGAAACGAGGGAAAAAGGCAGAAACGTCAGCTAGGCGGGTCCTGCAGGCCTACGGGGGAGGACCCATGTGGATTGCGGAAGACAATGACATTCCGACACTCACTGCAGGAGAGTGGACCCCGGGGAGAAAGCCACGGTGTGCCTCAGAAGGGACAAAGGTCAGAGTATCCAGTCACACGGGGGCTCTTCAAAGAGGTTAGGTGTGTGCCATCTCCAGACGCGCGATTGCTCAAAGCCTCTTTGCTAATGACATACCTGGGAGACCAACGTGGTTTTAGAGTCTGTTGCAGGAGCAGAGACGCTGACCGCTTGGACCGAAAGGGATAGGGAGAAACGACAGAGGGCCGTCTGAGCCCGGAATTCCACAGGCAGGAAACAGGCTGACAACCTAAGTGTGAAAAAGGAAGGGCGGCTCTTCGGGCGGAGCCCCGGGCCCCGGGCGTAACTCCCAGGCCCTGAAACCTACCTGCGGTTGCTCCTCTGGATCTCAGAATGGCTTGGGACCCACATTCCTTTTCGCTCCCATCTTCTCCCTTCTTGAAGGGGAACGTCTGTAACTATTATCCTGTGCCTACCACGCAGATGGAAAGGAATTCTGCCTCAGGATGAACAGTACAGAGCCTCACTCAGAGCTCACTTACGTCACTTAGACGGGAGGTCTGGCACCGTGAGGTGATTGGGATTTAAATGCGATTTTGGATGTCAGGAGGGACCAGTGTGTTCTGCACATTGGACGATGTGATTCTTCGGGAGCCAGTGTGTGGGTTGTGGTGGACAGGATATATAATGGCCCCTCAAAGAGGTTCGAATCCCCAGAACCTTACATGGACAAGGGGGCTTTGCAGGTGTGTGAAGTTAAGTCTTGAGACAGGAAGAGTCTACCTGAACTCCCCAGATAGCTCCGATACAATCACGAGGGTGCGTGTCAGAGGGGAGGAGGCTGTGAGAGCTGGGGAGAAGACCGGGCGATGCTGGAGGCAGAGACCGCAGGGATGCAGACCTAGCCCAGGAAGGCCGGCAGCCTCGACGTCGGAAGAGGCAAGGAACGGCTCTCTGCCGGAGCCTCCGAAAGGAACCACCCCATCGACACCGAGGTTTTAAGCCTGTGAGACTCATCTCAGACTTGGCACCTCCAGAAATGTAAGACAATACATTTTTGTAGTATTTAATGCCACGAACTGCACACTTAAAAAATGGTCAAGGTGGTAGATTTTATGTTATGTGTGTTTTACCGTAAT